AAAAAAAAAAAAAAAAAAATAGAAATAGAAATACACAATATTGTCTAAAAAAATAATTTTAATTTAAAATATAAATTGTCTACTTACCATACGAAAGTCCAAGTACGGTTCTTGCAATTAAAATGTAGTGAAAACTCTTGGCATATACCAGTAAAGACCAGCCTAAAATTATTGGTAGATAAGATATTTGCAAAATTTTTTTTCTTCCAAATTTATCGGTCACCATCCCAGTAGTTATTATACCAATTGGACACACCATATTTGGTACACTAGCTGAAAAATGGTCACAATTTTTTTTAAGAGTTAAGTGGGAAATGGATATTTTGATATTTAATAAATCGAAATTTTAATCGGTAAATAGAAAATGTGCCATGGATGTAGTCCAAGAATTTAATAATTGTTAAAAAAAATTGTAAAATTTTAAGTGAATCAAAAATTATAATTATGGTAGCTTATCATTTGTTAGTTATCTGAGGATAGCCTTGTGTTATATTTCAATTTTTATAACTTACCAATCCATGATGCTTGTTCATTATTGATATGGATATCTGACAAAGGATCTTTTAATTGCGCCAAAATTATTGAAGAATATGTTAGAGCAGAGCTAGTGATAAATATGTGGACATTTATCAAAAGTGCACACATTAACTGCAAAATTTATAAAAATTATTTTATTAGTAAAAATACATATGCTATTGGTACATGTAAATAAAAAATTGTAATATGTACATACAAATAATATATTTATCTTTTTATAAAATAAGTCAATGTACTTACGAGCTTCAAAAGTAAAAGAATCTTGCTTTGTTTCATATTTAATTTTGCTTAGTTATGAAAATAAAATAAAAATATATGGTACCCATTTCACAATGAACAGCATGTAGATGAGTAGTATGCCAACAACGTCGAAATCACTACTACTTCATGAATTTGTATACGATTCACACTAAAGCAAGCAACTGTGGCCTCTTAAAAATGAATATGTTTGTTACACAAAACACTAATCAATTTTTTAATTTTCATGCTGTAAAAATTATTAATAAAAAACAAATCACAAAAATTATATGATTTATATTAATTGCAGCTGTAAAAAAATATCCAAATTTATTAATTAGTGGTAAATTATCACTTTTAAATCTCTTATTAAATTATTTGAATCAAAGTTTGGATAAAGCTTATGTTCTTCAGTAATATTCCTAATACTCGCCAAATTTTAAGGTTTGATTGTTTCCTGTTTATTTTCGGTTGTTTAAATAAAGCACATAATATCAGTGGTAATATTTTATTTTAATCTGATAATCTTTTATTGACACCTCGTTAAATCTTATCGAATCTCATAAATAATATTAACGAGAATTATTACTTATAACTGTTCAAAATTAACATATATATATATATATACACACAGTAAGGTTATTTAATCTTATTGACGCGTGGTCAACGTCATTCATCTGTTTCATTAACACACATCTCATTTCAAAATAAACATCTAATTTGTTAATTTATTCATTCGTAAAATTCCTTATATTAATGGGTTACAAATTGCCAATTAGAATAATTTCTCTTTACTTGGTTATATATCATAATGTCTAATAAACATAAATATAGCTTGTTTTAATTAAGAATGATTATTTTCGGTGGTTAACTTATAAAATTACACGCTACATTTAAATTTCAAAAAACTCAAAAATTAGAATAAAACGTTTTAAAATTTTATTTTATAATATAAAATAATAAGACAATTATATTCAAACGTACTCGTCATTTAGATAATTAAATTTGTTTCTTTTGAAAAAAATATTCGAGAAACTGTTACACATTTAATAATGTTTTAAATATATTAAATATTATTTTTAAATATATTAAAAAAAAATAAAATATAAAAATGAAATGATGTTCTAATAAAGATAAAAATGTTTTATTTTCTACTCCTTGTATAAGGTAAAAAAAAAAAAAGAATCCACTTAAAGCTTAATCTTAAGACTCACTTTAAGTTTTCTCTAGATCTTTTTTAAAGGATTATATAATACACGATGATTATACTATAAGTATTTTTTATCCAGATAGTAAAATTCTTTTAAGTATTCAAAAAGTCATAGACACGTGATTATACATAATCAAACATTCTTTATTTTTTCATAAAAGTAGTAAATATTTTAAAATATATCTAGTGAATAATATACTTATTTACTTTATATATATATATATATTTAAAACCATTTACCTGTCTGTATTTTTTTTTAATTGTTTAATTTTGTTATTTTTTATGTAAAAACTTACTTAAATTAAAAATTATAAATTGTAAATAACTTGAAAAAAATTTTGTAGAGAAATTGAAAACATAAATTAATTTCCAATTATACACTTGAAATGATAACTACGTGCCAAACTTAAAGAATCTTAAAATTACAATAATATTATAAATTTTACATTGGCATTTGAATTAAACAACCTTCTAGCTTAAGAATATAATAATATATATATATATATATATATATATATATTTATATCGAAAAATATTGCATATCACTTGAATTGCATTCTTAAATATTTCTACGAGTTAACATTTTTTCAACGGTTATCAGTTCAAAAAGATGCCGTGGTCTTATCAAATCAAACAAGTTACGGTTTTCCTTGTACGATCAACATTTAGTACCTCTACTTGGACATGTAAACAGTGTTACAAGCGCCATCATGAAATTTTACACATAGATTTCAAGTGAAATGTTTCGTCGCCTAATATTACGTCAGACACTGAACCATCTCCATCTGAAGAAGCAAATGTCCAGTTTACTAGTACCACTCGTACGAATTGCACTGTAGTTCCCTGTATGGCCATTGATCGTGTTCCAGATCATATCATTATCATCATTCGGTCCTCGTATTATTAGGCAGTGGCTCTCAATTTTGAAAATTACCACTGAGTGCACCACTCGTATTGGACTTGCGCGTCGTCTATATCACACAGTTCTAGTTGGCCAAACTACAAACACAGTTCAAGTATATCTTTGTACCACTTATATTTATTATATGAATTGGTTTTCAGTTGCAAAGACTTTATTTATTTTACCACAAATAACGTCACAAAACAACGTCTGCCTGCTATCTACCGTTCGTGCATGGTACAATCATTTGTTGTTAACCGACCAACCAGCATGTATTGATATGCTTATTGGTAGTGACGTATTACTTATTTGAATCAAATATAAAGACAAAGAAAAAAAAGAAGTTTTGCCATCAGCGACCAACACCTATTTAGGCTGGGTAATTATAAGTTAGATAATCAGATAAGTACAGTTCGTTACCGCAAACGATTTTTACAGCTATGTCACGCCCATTATTTGGTAACTCGTCTCAAAATGTTGAACTTTATGTTCCGCACACAGTATCAACCGCTGAATTCAAGTTTTATACAAGCTCGTTCAGCACTAACAAGAACATCTTATGTAGTTGACATCCTAATGACCTCATTAGTTGTTCTTCACTATCTCCAAAAGCCATCAACGCACCAGCACTACATTAGGAATCCAGATGATCGACCACTTACAACGGCGAGTGTTCAGCTTACAACTCACCACCACCACGTAGTATGATCACTTAAATGTACACCGCAAAAAAACGCGCGACTCGACTGCGTTGAAAATAAAAACTGTTTGGACTTTTTATACTAGCATTTCATTAATATCTGTCATATATGACTAGTTATTTATGTCAGAAACTAAAATAAAATAACGCCATTCAATTTTAATAGATTTTAACTTGATAAACAAAACAATAAAACATAGTCTATTTCGCTAGTAGTAGCTAGACCGTAGAATTTATGATGATCGAAAGTGAGAAAATACGTTTATGGTTAATGACAAGTAGAACACGTATGTATAGACCACATGGTGTTTTAAAAGAACTGGCATACTTAAGTATTAGCTGGTGTAGGACACATAAAAGTGTACGACCCGTACTACGGTAAAAACAAACAAAGTGATGAATGTTCGTCAGTGATGGTGACGCTCTATGACTAAAGACGTACAAGAGCACAATATCTTAAGGAAGCTCAACGTACGTAGTGCACAAAATATATACAACATAAAAGGCACAAGATGGCTGATCAACGGCACAGACAAACAAAGACGTTCTTACTGTATACTGAATGGAACACGCACACTGATCGAAACGCTGACACTGCATACGGCAGCAGTCAACGCATTTGGTTATCAATTTACCGGAAAGGATGAGCGATGGGGTAGTTGAGTATTCGAGCAAACGATAGATACATTATTACAGTAATTTTGTCTTTTTTAACAAAGTAGTCACCGAGCAGATCGTTGGAATATGTCGAAAAACATAAATTTCGGAACAATATTGCAGTATTAAAAATAATACCATGTGGGCCGTAGATTTCTACACACTAGATGTGGTATATGTGGACCACATCAACAATTTGTTTACATCAAAAAACAAGTTGGTTACTTCAACATTATCTTTGCCATGAAATAAAAAAGAAAATGGGAAAAATTCTGAAAATAGGTCTGTTATAAAATAAAATGTTATTATAAATTACAAAATAAAAGGAAGTAGCCTTCCTTACAATATAAATAAGGATGGCTTTTGTTATAAAATAAAAATATGTAAATACTGTAATATTATTATATTAGTAAACATATTTTTAATAAGTTACGTCACAAGTGTACATATAAAATGCACAATTAAACAGACACTCCGATTAAAGAATTAATGAAATTCTTAACCTGAACAACTCACAAAAATAAAATTTATTAAAAAATAATGATTATTCTAAAGATTTTAAAATTTAAAAAATAAATAAAAATAAAATATAATTCATTTTTAAATAAACTATTCCTCTAAAAGTTAAATAAAAACATTAAGCATTGAAAAGTTGTTAAATCAGAGATGGCACAATCGCCAAAAAGATTGACACAGAAACGCTTTCTTGACGAGATTTTTTTAAAAATAAGGTGTCAAATGATTCAACAATGGCTCTTTTAGAGATCTGTTTTTGGAGGGGAAAATTTTGATTTTATATTTAATAAGGAAAGATTTTTTATTGGATAACCAATGAAACTTTAAGGGACATGTATGCAACTTATTATTTTATAATTTGAGTGAATATTTTATAAGGGACTTGGTGTTATGTATTTATAATCTTCCATAAAAATGTTGTTTGTTAAAAAAGTCATAATTTATACATTTTAAATACAATAAAATTGCAAGTGCAAATAATATATTACATCTTTTACTGGAATAGATTCTACATCAAACCACTGCTCTACTTGAATAACTTCATCGATGCGACTATGTGATATAAGAAATACAGTTGGTTCAGGTATTGTAAATTAACATAGTTCTCCCCAAATACTAAGCATACTTCTATGATCCTTCAGTTAAAAACATGACCAACAGTAAAACAGAGAACATACTAAAACCGATGGATACAGTAGTAAAACGGCATGAAAAATAACCTTTAAACTGTGGAACCAACTTAAAAAATATAAATTTATAGAAAAATATTTTGAAAAGTATTTTAAAAATACTTAACAGTTTATTGCTCATGAAGTGAATTTAGTACAATTTACAATCAATAACAAACTAAAAAGATGTCGTCATTGACTCAAGTACATACAAAATTTAAATTGACATCAGTATGCAAGAGTTTAATAGAGCTTACATTTTAAATAATAATTATTTGAATTTTAGGATTCAAATCTGTACATAACATTACTCTTAGTCGTTAAATTAATTTGAGAAAAAAGTATTCTAATATTTTTCGTCAAAGCTTTTCGCAAATAGCACGTGTTGTTGGTAATACAATTTGGCAAAAACAAAAATCAAGAATTTATCAAATAAATTTCTGTGATTATTTGTATATTGTTAAAAAATATATATCGTAAATATATATCGTAAATATATAGGTCAATTGATCTCATGTTAATAAACTTTAAAGTGCTGTAAAAGATGAACATTTGTTCGAATAACAAAAATTATAGGAACAAAATTGTTTACAATTCTTTTTCTGTCATATTATCAAGTTAAAAATAAGAGTTTCTATTTAGGAAATTAAAATTAAAGTATTTTATCCCTGAAGAGGTATAAAAAATTATTTGATTATAATATTGATGAATTTTTAAACTAAATGATTTTTAACTTTACAAAAATTAAAAACTTTCAATAGTTTCTGAAAAAATAACAATCATCTTATTCAAAATCAATAACCCGTTTATATGCTTTAATTAGGAAACTTTTGGGATGTTTCATTTTTAGTTCAAATTGTTCAGACCTAAAACTATTAAAATATACCATATATTTTTCACTTAAAACAATTCCTTACAATTTTAAAAGAAAATCGCAAAAAAATTATTATTTAGTGAATAATATTTAGAACGTTCGCTAGTACTACGTGATTAGTATTTGATGTTTGACGTACTCATTAGTACTTATCTATTTAAAAGTAATAGTACTAATTTACTCATTTGTTTCCTTTGCAATATTTTTCGTGACTAATTTGTTGCAAATTGTTGATGTGTAAAATTATCTGTTTTTCATAGTATAAACATAGTAAATAGGTGACCTATTGCCCGTTTAAAATAATTTAACTATATTAAATATGTTTTTTTTTGTATTTTTATGGTAGTAAAATATGTGAACGAAAGAAAATGATTAAACATAATTTATTTTTAAACTGAATGTTTTTTTAAAAAACAAAAAAAAATTTTATATTAATAATCATATGTCTGGCATTATTGATATTTTAAATTACACTGACCTGTTTAAGTTTTACTTATTGAAAAGTTTTAATTAAATTACTTAAACTTGGTATATATTTTTCTTTCTTGTTAACGATAAATAATAAAAAATATGTTTTTATTGTAGCCTAAGACAGCTATAAATATTATAAAAAATATTCAATCAAAAGTTATAAGTGTTGTTAATTAGGTCTACGACACTTTGTATATATATTTTATTACATATACTTGTATAACATATTATACTGGTATATACAGTATATAGTAAGTAATATATAATTTATAGAGTAATCCGTGAATCACTAAATTATAATAATAATTTTGTGAATTTTCTTTCGTATTTTTCAGTTATATATAATTCTTGATTTATCCACTATTAAGTATTTTTATGGTTTATTTCTTATGCTTTGTAAAGGATCAACTTATTTTTAAATACGGTTAACCGGTAAACCAATAAACTGGTAACTCATAATAACTATCATACATCAATAAATATCCTAATAGTATTTGAACACTGATTATGTATGTTAACAATCATTTATACAATTATATATAGCTGAATACGGATGCAGTTGATCGGTTTATCATAAACCACTCGATAATTCGTAAAATACAATGTTGGGAAATACATTTTACTTTTTCTTTTAGTTACATATATTTTGTAATTCAAAATATAAACTGACTAATCATCAGTTATTAAATAATTTTTAGAATCATCGCTTATAACTTATAGTGGTGTAATCTATAAATTTTTTTAATGGCATTATACATATATTGCTTATTAAATAGAAAATTAATTAATTTAAAATAAAATAACTAAGGAAATGAAAAAAGTTTTTAGTATTTCAAAATGTAGACTAAAGGTAAAGAGTAGTCGTTTCTATTTTTATCATTAGACATTTCATAGGATGTGCAAGATGTTTGGAAATATTTTACTATTTCTCTTACATTAATTATCTGAAAATTTAAATTATTAATATGAGTAATTAAAATACTGACATTATTAGTAATTTGAATTATTTATATTATTTATTAAAATGTTTCTTAACGTAATTATAATTACGTTTAGTTAAACAATTAATTGTATAGACAGGACTGTCTACCATAAAGTACTTGTAGATAAACATTTCGTGATCACTAATAGGTAATCGATATCAGTCTATTTAGTACGTGATTTTCAAATGCTGAATGATATGAATAATTGCACGACAATCAATTAAAATTTATACATAATTAAATGTAAGTACTCCATCGTTTTAAACATTTTTAAACCTTTCATTTAATACGATAGCTTTGAAATAATGAAATTTGACGTAGATTCAATAGTGAACATTACACTTAAATTAAACATTTTATTTCATTGTTTTGAAGGTTTATTTCTTAGTAAAACAACGGTTAAGTTTCTTAATTTGTAATAGATTATTTTAGTAGCATAAAAATATAAATATAATACAAAAATATGAATTTTTCTTTTCAGAAGTTATTAGTATCCTTACCACTTTCATTGACAAGAAAAGATAGTTCAATGTTACTCCTCCCCAATAAATGTTGTACCAACTTTAGTTTTTTAAATGGAAATATATGTGTTTAACTGGTCTACAAATAAGAATATGATCCTATAAAAATTACTAGTCGATAACAACCATTGAATTGTTTAGTAATCACTGGCCGTTTCAGTGGTTATTTAAACTCTTAATGGTATTCAGCCGCTTAACTACACATATTCGCCGCATTAATTACCAAACCACCGTTAACTTACTCTTTTTTTAAATTTTTCTTTAATTTCTTTTTTGACTATTTTATTTATATTTTGTTCATAAAAAAAATTTATTATCGCGACGAGTGTCAAAATCGACCAGTTTTATAGACGTTGACATTATATGTAACTTTTTATCATTATTTTCTTTTTCATTTTCATTCAATGTTATAAATGGCTTCATTTGTCTATTAAACTTATGTTACTAACCCCCTCATTTTTATTGTCTCCTTAGTTTTTAAAACCTAACTAGAAGAGTAATGTTAGATTTTTTGGGTTTTTAAATAATATTCAATAGTGACGCAATTTTAAGTATTACACTATCGGTTGTTTTTGATTATTTTTCACTTCAATTAAATAAAATTTTGAATAAGATTTTTCTTTTTTTTACTGTCTATTAAGCCGACTAAATAGAAATAATTTTTTGGAAGTTTTTTACATTTAATAATAAAGGATAAAGATGAAGCGCGGGTATATATATTTATACTACTAGACAATTCAGAACCGCTCTTCTCCTCTCCCCTAGTATAAAGATACTTGAATTTTTTAAATAATGAATTTATATAAATAAATAAATCAAAATAGAAATATAAAAAGTATTTTACACAGAATTGTACATAGTTAGCTAAATTAACGTCAATTAAAAAATAAAAACCAATAAAGAATTATTTTAGAAATTCAATAAATTATTCAATGACACTATTTTTTTTCTTCGATTCAAAACTAGTCGAAATTTCTTCTAGTGATTTTCCTTTTGTTTCAGGCATTAAAAACCAACCATACAGAACAATCATTAAACAAGCGCATGAATAAAAAGTCCAAACAATTTTTATTCCCAATTTTGATACAAACATTGGGTACAATTTGGTAACACAAAAAATAAACACGTATCCTATTGATGTGGCGGCTGCATTCATTATACCTTAACATAAATATATTTTATTAATATATTATTTTCTTAAATAAAAATACAATAAATACCTTTGACATGCATTGGAAATAATTCACCAATTATACTCCAAGGTATCGGCATTACACCTAACATTGTAAAATATACATAAATAAAGAAAAATATAATAATCCAGTTATCGTTATGTGAAACTGAATCAGAAACGTTTTGCAACAAATGTAAGTAGCCAAGGACCAAAGACAGCCCTACAAACATTCCCAAACCTGATATGATTGTAAGCGTCCTCCGTTTAACTCCTGATAAAAGAAAAAATGTTATACTGCCAGTTATTCGCGCAAATGAAAGATACATTGTGACGGTGATGCCATCTTTATGGACGCCGCAATTCCGGAGCACATCTACTGAATATGCCAGCAACACATAAATACCAGACCACTGCTGTATTATTAAAAATAATATAACATGAGATGTAGGTTTCCATACATTGGGAGCAGTGTATGTGGACCAAGCCAACAATTTGACGGATTTAACTGGTTGAGTATCTATTTCCTCAGAATCATCATTTACCGGAATAGAATCTACGCCAAACCATTTTTCTGCCTGAATAGCTTCATCATTACGATTACGCGATCTGAGCCACTTTGGAGGTTCTGGTATGGTAAACAGGCCTAATGCTCCGCAAACGCTGAGTACGCCATAAATCGCGGCTATAATTTTCCAATCATAGTACATACCCAAAAATGATATATTGAACATACTAAACCCGGTAAAAACACTGATTAAGGCTAAAAACAATGGCCTTTGGGCTGTGGGACAGACTTCAGCAGTATATATGAATGTCACTATACCCGAACCTGTAAATACATAATATAATATACTAAAGATTTATTAGTTATAGACCTAATAAATTAGGCTTTATTGCTGAATTTTATTATTATAAAAAGTTAACACACTCAAGTTAAAATAAAATTTTGGAAGCTGCTCTATTTTTTAAGTATAGCTTCTTTAGGTTCGGATAGGTAGTAAATAAAACAATATGGTTGCCCATCCGTCACGTGGACGTGTAATGCATAGATTTGTATGCTAAATGAAAGTTGCTAGCTAATTTTATTTTATTGAAATTAATTAAAACAGATAAATAAATGAATCTACACTTCAAGTTATTAATAAGTTGAATTAGCAAGTAAAAATACGAATAATTTCAACTCAATATTGAGAATAATAATAATGCAGATGAAATAGCTAAGTAAAAATAATAAAAACGCCTGCTTAATGGTGCAAAGAATTTAAGAAATGCAACAAGTCGTTCATCAATACAGATTTAATTAGAACAAAATTTTACGTCTGAAGTAGAAGACACAACATGGATAATTTTCATTAAAATGTACTTACTTATATTTATTATAAAAAGAATGATGTTATCTAACTAACAAATCCAACAGCTGGTTGCAAATATATTATAAAACAAATCAGACCAGAAATATAAGTTAACATTATAAAAATATTTAACTGTCAAAATTATACAAAAATAAAAAAATATATTCAAACGCCACTGGACATTAAAATCGGAACTTAAGATTTAACTAATGGAACAATTTTTAATAAATAATTCAACTATACATTAATAAAAAATTATAAATTTAATACAAGACTTGTACTTGTAAGATATTATTGGTATTTACATGATATTTAATCTAGTAATCTAGGAATCAAAATCTAACAAAACGAGGAAAAATGAAGGGTATTTGAAGAAATAAGGGTAGACCAATAATTATTTTAATTGAGACTTCGTTGACAATTTGATATGTCATTTAGCATCATTTAAGCTCTTAAATTAATGAAAAAAGTAAGTTATTCAAAAGTAATAGCTCTCAAAAGTTTTTTAGTACTGTAAAAATTACAATTTAAAATTTAATTTTCTCATATTACAAAAAATTAACTCGATTTTGTTTTTTCCGTGTACCCTTCATATATAAAATAAGAAAAATTTTATATTTTAAATACATATTCTTGTCTATTATACCTTTTAATCCATTTACGAAAAAAAAATATATATATAAGGTAAAGTGGGGTAAGATAGCGAGCTTCTACGATTTATCCTGACTTCTGCGAATGGATATAAATTTTGAAATTTGCATGAGAATTACTTCTATATATAGCCTATCATTACAAATTTTTCGAACGCCCCTCTCAAATTCTTAGGAATGAAATATGAGTTTTCCTGAAAATTGATATTTTTGTCATCTTACTCCTTAGGTGGGGAAAGATGATAAAAATGGATTGGGGTAAGACGACGAACAAAACATCTTAGTAATATGTGTTATGCTAATGCAAACAGCTGGGTTGGATATCAAAAAATTATCAACTGCCTGATTGTAGGCTGTCTTAAAGGACCATAAAAACCCACATCTAGGGGTTGTAATCGGTGGTTAAATAAGGTGGAAATCCGAGCATAATAATTCCATTTTCCCTGCAAAATTAAATAGCTTTGATGGTTACATGAGAGGCATGAATGTCCATGAAAAGCAGAAGTGAATGTGCAATACTTGGGTGAGCATGCGATGCAAAATGTTTTAAATAGTTAACAAAATTGGTAGCTGTCATCCATCTTGAAATATGTGGTACTGCGGCTGACCTCGGAGGGGCACCTTCTAAAAATATTGGATTAATTCTCACCCTAGGATAGATAAAAAATAGAGGTATGTAATTTCCAGTAGCATTCGTGGTGCACACACTCGTCACTGTGACCCCAAATTAAGCTGACGAAATTTTTATCACTCGGAAAAGTACCAATGGGGCTGATGATTTTTGGTGTTTTTGTTGCCACTGTGGAAAAAATCCTTACTCGTCAACGTTGTAGATTTGTTCAGCTGTGAATGATTATTTTAATCTGATTTCTCTAAGCAACTCAAAAAAAATACTAATTTTCACTCGATTAAATACCATGAGTCTAGCAACTGATGAAGACTCAGGTTTTCTTAATGTAAACTCACATTCTTTCATAAAATATTTAACAAAACCTTCACCAGCAGTTTTTTTTTTCTGTATTAAATACATGGGGCACTCCACTTTTTTCAGCATATTCATAATATAAATAAGAAAACTGTATTCGTGTTAGACCATATGTTCTTTTGTCAAAATCAATCACATATTGTTTCAACTCCTTAATTTGTGCTTCAGAAAAAGTTTTTTTATACTTCCCTAAATTTCGAGAAAATTTACATCAATTTCTTTTCACTCTGAAATATGAACTCGTTTTTTAAAATATCTTCATAAAGTGGACTCGGGTATATTATATTTTATTGCAGCAGCGTTGAGACTCAAAATATTGCCTGCGACATCTGATATAGCAAACATCATTTCTTTATTTTCGCAACTTTTCCTCTCACATGTTCTTACATATTGCCGTGGCATGTTAGTACTTAATTGACGTTACAATCGAAAGCAACTGTGAATTTATGACCAATTTTATATAATAAATTTATTTAATAAATTTTATTAGTTGCTATTTATTACACTATCATATTTTACATTTTTATAATCATATTAATAATAATATTAATGTTATTGTTATCATTATAAAAAATTTAACAGAATTTGGAGTACTATCAAAATAAAAAAAAAACCATCACAGGGGGTTCGCGGCACAGTGGTAACGTGGCATAGTTGGGTCAAGTATAATGATATCTGGCAGTGATTAAACTCACTATCATAAAAAACGCTTCGATGCAAATCTGTAGATAGTGTTTAATTTTAAAAAAACGGTCGATTATTCCAAAAGCTACATGATCTCCTATTTTCTTATATGTATCCTGATTATAAGTTTTATGATTTATTAATGTAATATATGATTAAATATATATAACATATAAATATATAAAGGGAAATGGTGTTATTTAAAAAAAAAAATTTGTCGAATGAAAGAGGGATAAGAATTTTATTTCTTATGAAAAAATTGTATTGATCTTACTTTCAATACTTTCAAAATTTAAGTTGAAAAAGTTGTCATTTTGAATCCCCCCCTGAGGGCAGGTATAGAATCAGATTTATAAAAATTATACACTAAATGAAAGGTAAAGACATTATGCATCTATAAAAAAGAATATATTGATTTGGTCATTTTTTAAAAAGTTATAGTAGTTTTAAGTAAAAAAAATTGAAAAATGTCGAAAATTAGCGATTTTTAAATTTGTAATTTTTTTGGAGATTTCCCCCATTTACGGGGAACGAGAGAAATGTTTTCAATTTTTGAGGGTAATGACTCTAACTAAATATAATTTATAATCTTTTGATGTATCGTTGAAAGAAATCCGTTTGGTGAGAGCTGAGAAAAAGTGGTAACAGATAAAAAAAAAAACAGCTCATAGTAAAACTAATACCTTCTCAGCTTCGCATCGAAGCTAAAATGTATAAATAATGAAAAAAACACGTCGTGTAAGTTGACGAAATAAAAATTATTCATCATCTTTCCCCCTCACGTAATTTTTACTGAACTAACATTTATCAGTAACAAAAAATATTGTAATAAACATTGACTTTTTATGAGTTAGTAGGCATTTACTATTAATTTCAGAATATTCAAGAGTGAAAGTTGAAAAACTTATCATAGAATCATAATACCTTGCGTTTAAAAGCTCGAAATTAGAGTAACTTTCGTTAATTTTGCATTTCTTATAATAAATCTAACTATAGTAAGTGTACATATGTTTATACCTGCGAGTTATCATGGGCACTATATGAAGTTTTTATGTTAAATGTGAAGTGGCTGCTATCTATGATAATTTTTGAGAAATATTGAATTTGTTATCTTTCCCCATTCGCCATCTTACACCGTCTTACCCATTATTATTATTTTTTTTAAAATTAAAAACAAGTATATATTATTTTTATTATTATAATTATAATATTATTATTAAGTATGTATTATATTATGGTGCAAGTCATAACAGTATATTACGGCTAATGTAAGAGACTAAATATATATAATAAATTGTAAATTAGTCGAACACAGGGGAGAAAAAATTATTCATTAAGATTAAGGAAAAGTAAATCTTACATGGGATTAATACCTTTGGAATAGGTATTACTTAAGCTTTTTAGAATTTACAGATATTTCAGAACCACAATTCAAGAATCTACTGCTGATAGATATTTCTAACAAATATAATATTTTAAAAACATTATGTAATAAATTCATTATAATAAATTGCATAGGAACTCATGAAGTATCAAATAATATATTTATTGAAAGAGTTTAGAGAACTGCACTAATTATTTTTCAAAACCAATAAAAAATAGAAAATTTCAATAAACAAGAAGTCATAATAAAAAAAAGAGAACTCAACTTTATCCTTTACAAAATTCAAATAAAAAGAGAACTCGTTTATAAATACAAATAACAAAAGAATTAATTATAATTATAACTTAAACTGAATAGCTTGTTATATTATATTTTCAAATAATTTTTCTCTTAAAATGAATTAAATATTTAATTTAAGCGCTATGAACGTATGAGAAAATATTAATTGTATACCATATGCAAGACCTAATACGATTCTTGCAATTAAAATGTAGTAAAAATCCTTGGCAAAATACAGTAATAACCATCCTATAATCATTGGTATGTACGAATACTGTAAAACTTTTTTTCTTCCGAGTATGCTTGTCAACATTCCACTTACTATTAAACCAATCGGACACATCAAGTTTGGTATACTAGCTGAAAAATAAATTTGAAAATATATAAAAATTTGTCATTGAAGAAATTGTCATATTATCTTCATAGAAGATGATTTTATAAGAATTAATTTTTTGTTTTCATAAACCTATTTAAAAGAAAACATTTTTTATAATGGAGGCATTTGATATTAAAATATTATTTGGGATGTTTTTTATTTTGATGATTCTAGAAACATAACTAGAAATACATTTTACTACATTTTTGCTTAGAAATGTTATAATTATTAAAAAATGTATAAAATAGTATTTAGCCATTTATCTCGAAATTAAAATATTAACAAAAACTACCTTACATATTCTAATTATAATATTTATATTTGTATAATTCAATCTTCCAATTTTTAAAGAAAAAGAATAATTGACCAACATTTTTAAAGACTCTTATAAAAATTTGAATAATTTAAATATATGTTATAATAGCAATTTAAACTTCAATAATGGCTATTAATCTCCCTAAATCTCTTCGATGTATATCTGTAGTTTTTAATTTTAAAAAATTGGTGTATTAGTCCAAAAGCTACATGATCTGCTAGTTCCTTATTAATATCCTTATTAAGATAAAGTATGTCGAATGAAAAAGAGATTATTAAAAAATATTATTTCTCATAAAAAAATTGTATTGATCCATATATTTTTCAAAAAGTTATTGCATTATAAAGTTAAAAATGTAAAAAATAAAATCGAGAATTTTCACACAAAAATAGTATTCGGTAGCCAATTTCATTGTGAAGACAAAATGAAGTCCCAAATTTTTTTATTTCATGATAAATTATATTACATTAAATTTAATTTAAGATATATATATAAAAGTGTCAGACTTTCTGGAACACTCAAAATTTAAGTTGAAAAAGTAATGTCATTTTGAATCCCCCCCTGTAGGCAGGTAAAAAGTCAGATTTATAAAAAAAATATATCAAATGATAAGTAAAAACATCATGCATCTATAAAAAAAAGAATTATATTGATCCATACATCTTTCAAAAAGTTAAAGCATTATAAAGTTTAAAATATAAAAAAGAATTTTTTTACAAAAATCGTATTTTTTTTATTAACTTTGATGTCTGTTTTTACCATGAAGATAAAATAAAATCGAAAATTTTAACACAAAAATAGTATACTTTAGATATTTTAACCATGAAGACAAAATGAGGTTAGAAATTTTTTTTTTCCATAATATAGTAAATTACATTAGCTTTAATTTAATATATATGTAAAAGTGTCAGTATTTCCGGAACACTTTCAAAAGTTAAGTTGAAAAAGTACAGTTTTTGTGAAAAAGTTGTCATTTTGAATCCCTCCCTGTGGGCTGGTAAAGGGTTAAATTTATAAAAAAAATATACCAATTGGTAGGTAAAAACATTAAGCGTCTACAAAAAAGAATATATTGATATGTTCATTTTTAAAAAAGTTATGGCAGTTTTAATTTAAAAAAATTGAAAAAATTAGCGATTTTTTAAATTTGTAATTTTTTTGGAGGTTTCCCCCATTTACGGGGTACGAGAGAAATTTTTTCAATTTTTGAGGGTAATGTCTTCGACTAAATACGATTTGTGATCTTTTGACGTATCGTTGAAAAAGATCGGTTTGGTGTGAGCTGAGAAAATGTAATATAAAAAAAATTTTAAAGACGGTAAAAGATAGGACGATGTAGAATGTCGAGGGAGACATAAATGATGTGTGGCATAGATTTGCTAGTTGTGTAAAGAATACTGCAAAGATGATAGGAATAGAGTGTCAGGTAACAAAGAAACATGGTGGTGGGATGTTGACGTCCAAATTCATAGAAAGTAAGAAAAAGCAATTCAAAGTATGGTAGCAGAGCAAAAGAAGAGAAAATTGAATGAAGTATTAACGCTTGTGCAAAGAAGCCAAGTATGTAGTAAGTAAGGCGAAGTTTAAGAGGTATGATGAGTTGTATGATAGGCTAAGAACAAGAGAAGGCGAAAAATTCTATAGATTTGTAAAAGTATGATAAAAGATCTTATATTATTATTTAGAATAATCTAAAGATTGTCACTATTTAAGGTGTATAAAAAGTGTTGATAATATGTTATTTGATCAAAAAAATTTAATACACATATATAACGATTTATTAGTTCATTTAAAAACAAAAATAATCATTCAGTTAAGTAAATAAAACTATATATGATAAATGCGTCAATAAAAAAATTTTTAAATGTTAAATCTAATTTTTTTACGAAATGTTTAGTACAATCAAAGTAATCACAGGCATTAAAATTGTGACACGTAAATATCGATATAATTATGAACACTTCAACTATATTTTTGCTATCAATTTGTGTACTAATTTTTTACATTGGTCAAATTCAATTATATGAATTTGTAAACTTACAATATTTGGATAAAGAATTAATAACAATAAACAAATGTGAGGAAGGAAGTGAAATAACATATTGTATGACGTATTGGCATGCTCGCCAATTAGGAAAAAGTATCTTTGTGGAAGGTATTTCATATGAGCGTTACCCTTACTATAAAAAGGCCATGGTCATTGAAATATGTACATGTATTGACCTTTTATAGTAAGATGGCAATTGAATGTATGAAAGATGATAAACTTCTAGTAATATTTAGTACCACAATATATACTATGTGCGGTTTTTTTAAGCTTAACCATTTAGAAAATAAAAGCCTAGAAAAAATCAAAAACAGCTTAGAAGATTTCAAAAATTACAAAAATTATCCTAAAGAACCATATTTTTTTCCAGATTCTAAATTCGTATGCGATGTTTTAGATCAAATTATACAAATAATAATTGATTATTTTAAAGATGAAAACATATTCTTTGATCTAGCAGATTGGAAAGAGTACGGAACTGTAATAAGTGAAGACTTATTAAAAAAAAAATATTTTCCTCCAACAAAATATGAACTCATAAATGAGCAACTAATTGATTTTATAGGCATTCTCGTTTCTAACATAAATAAAGAGTATAAAATAAAACTTAATGTCGATGAAAATAACGAAGAAGTGAGTAAAATACATAATTTTACACCATGATTTAAATCTTTAATTTTAATTTTATTCATTATACATAGTTTTTTAAATAATTATCTTATAAATGAAAACATAATTATATTTTATTTTATCAATATTATAATGTAATAATAAAATAATATATTCTACATTATTTTATAAAATGAATACGAAAATTAAAATAATTATAATTTTTTTTTTGAGCTGTTTTGTGTAACAATATATATAAATTATTTCTCTTTAATCCATAAAATATTATAATAAAAAATTTTGAAATAAATGATTATAACTAAAAAATGTTTTTAAAAATCATTTTTGTGCATACCGAATACATATTAACAATTTTTCATACATATTTTAAAGCTATAATTAAATGTTTTTTATTGACAAAGTTTAATACTTAGGTGTTTGCTGTTTTATATTTAAAGCACACTTATTAAATAATTTTCATTGATACCAGTGCCGCCAAAGTCATAAATAATATGTATGGCAAAAATTTTAAATTTAAAATTCGTTATCAACCACTGCTAGTTACTAAGTGTAATATACACCTCTAATCTTTATTGTATGTAACAACTTCTTATGTCATCTACTTTTGACAAACTAGATGTGTTAAAAATACATTAAAGAATAGATTTAAAAACAGCACCAAAACATAGAATACAACTAACTAAAAGAAATTAAAATACAGTAGTGATCCAGCAAAGTCGATTTGAGGCTTTTTATTAGAATAGTATTGATTAATATCTGACATAGATAAAATCATTGTCGTAAAACGTTTCGATGCATATTTGCTACAAATTCAAAAAATTTAACACATTCCCCTAAAATTATATGATCTCCAAATTTATAGATTAATTACTGAAGAAGACAATTGTCGGAAACTTTTACTTTTTTTAATAATATAGTACAAGAGTTAGCAATAAGCTTGCAGGCCCAAGACAAACATTGCCATAATTTTTTATTAAAATATTTTTTTTCGTATTGTGATTAGATCATATTAAGTTCATATGAAGGGTATTATTAATATTAATAAATGTATAGACTATATTTGTACTAAAAAAAACCAAAAGTAATTTTCTAACACAATTTTTACTTATTAAAATCAAAAAAATAATGTTAAAAGAATCCCCTGTATACATATTTTTTCACATTTATTATTATGCTTCTTATTTATCATTATTTTTATAATTATAAACTAAAAAAACCAGCACAGGGGGTTCGCGGCACAGTGGTGACGTGGCATAGATGAATCAAGTATAATGATATCTGGCAGTGATTAAAATCACTATCATAAAAAACGCTTTGGTGCAAATCTTTAGATAGTGTTTAATTTTAAAAAATTGGTGTATTATTCCAAAAGCTACATGATCTGATAGTTCCTTATTAATATCCTGATTAAGATAAAGTATGTCGAATGAAAAAGGGATTATTGAAAAATATTATTTCTCATAAAAAAATTGTATTGATCCAAATTTCCTTTTTTAAAGAAAAAGAATAATTGACCAACATTTTAAAAGACTCTTATAAAAATTTGAATAATTTAAACTTAAATAATGGCCCTTAGTCTCCCTAAATATCTTCGATGCATATCTGTAGAGTTTTTAATTTTAAAAAATTGGTGGATTAGTCCAAGAGCTGCATGATCTTCTATTTCCTTATATGTATCCTGATTATAAGTTTTATGATTTATAAATGTAATATATGAATAAATATATATAATATATGAATAAATATATATAATATATAAATATATAAAGGGAAATGGTGTTATTTAAAAAAAAGTATGTCGGATGAAAGAGGGATAAGAATTTTATTTCTTATGAAAAAATTGTATTGATCTTACTTTCAATACTTTCAAAATTTCCTTATTTATATCCTGATTATAAGTTTTATGATTTATAAATGTAATATATGAATAAATATAAATAAAAAAAAATTATATTGATATGTTCATTTTTGAAAAAGTTACGGCAGTTTTTAGTAAAAAAATTGAAAAAATTTCGAAAATTAGCGATTTTTAAATTTGTAATTTTTTTGTAGGTTTCCCCCATTTACGGGGAATGAGGGAAATTTTTTCAATTTTTGAGGGTTATGTCTTCGACTAGATACGATTTGTGATCTTTTGACGTATCGTTGAAAGAAATCCGTTCGATAAGAGCTGAGAAAAAGTGGTAACAGAAAAAAAAAAAAAATAATAAAAACATCTTAGTAAAACCAATACCTTCTCAGCTTCGCATCGAAGCTAAAAAAAAAAGTTAACAACACTATAATTTATAAGGGATCATCATTAAAAAAAATAACTATTATCTGATAAAGTTTTATGTAACTGAAAAAAAACTAAAATTTGTTTTTCAATATTATATTTTTTTTGCGTGTTACTGGGTGGTTTATAAGAAACCTTTATCACTCTGTATTTTATTCCTACACATAAAAAAAGTTTGTATAAATTTACCATATATTTGGAGAATATATAAGCAAATTGGGAGATGGTGAATTTAAATTTAAATTAATTTTTATATTAAAATTTCGATTAGAAAATTATATAGCTATTCAATATGAAAAATATTGAACAGTTATATAAATACTATGTGAAAATATTAAACAGTCAAGATATCCTACATTTGAAATTTATTAGTCTATTAAATACTTTTTGATAGCAAAGTAAAAGAAGGGTTTCAGTTTTATTTTAAACTAACTAATGCTTTATAATAACTGAATTAAGTGTTTAATTTTGATTATTTTGAACAATTTATTTGTTCATTATCAAAATATTTTACTGAGTAATTATTTAGTATTTAAGTATATTAGGGAAAATTACTTTTAGTTAAATAAAAGGGTCCATATTGTTTTGTTGAGAAATATTATTCTATTATAATAATTCCATTTATAGGATAATTATTTTATCATGAACCACTTAATTAATCAAAAAATGACAATAACATTCATTGATCATTTTTTTTGTCTCATTTTAGTTACATACTTTTCTCAAATGTTCAATCATGCAACACATTTTATATAGCATTTTTAGTTAGTAAAGTAACGGGTTTCTATTGTTCTCATTGTTTGTAATAACTGACTTGTTTCCTTACTTACTAAGCATTCTATATACGACATTTTTATTTTTTAAATAACAAAATTTATCTTTAACTAGCTTAAATGATTAAATTTATCTAATTAAAAAAATATATCTTATAAAGTATTAGTGACGAATAAAAATAATGTTTCATCAATATTATTTTTATTTTCCCATTAAGTGGTTTATGATAAAAGAATCACTCTGTGTAAATCTTACCTATCCAAGATGCCTGTTCATCGTTCAACTTTATATCGGATGATGAATCTTTTAGTTGTGTCAAAATTATCGACGAATATATAAAAATAGAGCTACCAATAAATATTTGAACACTCATTAAACTCGTAGCATATACCTGTAAACAACGAAATATTACAGGAAATGATAGTACTATAGAAAATAATTTTTAACTTTTCGTGTAAAGGTTGCTATATTAAATACCTACTGTGAGCCGGTAAAGGGGTAGATTGCAAATGTATACATATATAAAATAAAAGAGAAATACAAATATAATAAAAAAAAAGTCGTTCATTTTTTTAAAAAGCTATGATAATTTTAAGACAAAAAAATTTAAAAGTTAGAAATTTATAGATTTTAAAAATTTGTAATTTTTTTAAAAGATTTACAGGGAACGAAGAAATTTTTTTCAATTTTTAAGATGAAACTTTTCTACTAGTTACGATTTGTGATCTTTTGACGTGTCGTAGAAAAAAAAAGTTCTGTGAGTGCTGAGAAAAAATGACGACAGAAACAAAAAAAATACATAATAGTTATATTTAAAAATATTATTATTATTATTTTTTAAATGTTTAATATACACAGTTTTTAGCTCTTTTCTTATAAAAATTTTTATGGATATAAATATTTAAATGTAAAAGGAGTATGTAGAGCATTCAAGAAATGCGTTATAAATACACAACAGTACGACCTGTACCCCATGTGCCCTACATACCTTCTTTATGTATTAAAATCATTACTTTACGGTATAAAACACAAATATATACTTTAAATATTTACATTAAAAAGCTTTTAATTCTAATATACTCACGAGTTTCAATATGAAAAAGATTTTAGGTCGTTTCATTTTTGTTCTACTAATAAAATTAACAAATCAAAAAATTATCATATCCATCTCACAAAATTTTTACCCGAAATTTCGAATAGAAATTTAAAAAGAATATCTTCTAATTATATAATATATAACTTTTTTCAGTTCTGAGGATATTTTTTATTGTATAAACGAACGAATTAATTTGCAAATAATTACACTTTAATCATTATTACTTATTTAAAATGATTAAATTGAAAACACAACTTGAATTTAACTTGAGATCTGTTACGATAATGATTCACTTTTTTGAAATTTTACTGTTTAATATTTGTTACAAAAATATACCTGAATCTCGTTACGATGTTTAAATTTAATAGAATTCAAGTTTTATTGAAACTTCGTTACTTCGAAACTTATTTATAGATAATGTAATTGAATATTGTAAGCAAATACAATAAAACATTTACATATATGTAGAGTGGACTGTAATGTATTATGTAAATAATTTTTGTAGTTAATGTGTTACAAATTGACGATTTGTATCATTAACTTTATTTAATTGAGTACATTGTTTTTTAAACATAAAACTATCGACTAACTAAGACTATTTTAATTAAGAATGTTCGCTGTCTTTTGTTATTTTGTAAAATTATTTATGGAATATTAAAAATCAAGAGTGGGAAAGACAATACTTTTTAGCCTAAATTCAATTTTTAAATATTTAATTTGAAATAGTCATCTACAAATAGTTTAAAAGCACCAATACAATATTATGGAGACTAAGGGAAAGTCGGCTACAAGTTAATAACGGTTACCAGAATTTCTAGTAAAATAAAACACTTGGTAAGAGATTGGTTGTATAGCAAGTTTGTCATTGTTTTCATTATTTAAAATATGATATTTAAAAGTAATTGAATCATTTTTTCTCATCAAAAAACCTTTGAATATAATCGTTAATTATTAATCTTGAACTTCGCGATTTTCGACTTAATTTTTAGATAAGATTTTCACTTACACGTATATAATTAGTTCTACATTTTGTTAGGAATCGACTGTTGTTTTAAAAACAAATGTTATTACCCTTATGTCGAGATATATTTTTTAAAAATAAAATATGTTGAATGATTTGTTCATCATAACTAAAAATTCAAAATAACAATACTTTTTTTAATATTTATTAAGACAACATCTGAATGAAACTTAAAAGCCTATGTTGGTTTTAGAGCGGGTATATTAAAAAAAATAATGAATACAAACACTCTAATTAATAATTTAAATTATTCTTTATTACACAAAAATAATTAATATAAAAAAATAATTTAATTTATATTTATCGATCCGGTAATCGTTTTTGATTAGAACTGATCATTTTTACCTAACTTAGGTAGAAACTTAAGACAGACTCTTGAAATTTTAAATATAGATTAAGCTCTAGTATCATAGAGCGCTGTAAAAAAATTAGCTCTTAATATTAAATATTTTCAAAATGAGAGCTCTTCAAATTTTTCACTTTTATTACTCACTTACTATCAAAATTATGAGGCACTTCCTGTACAGATAGAAATATAAAACTTGTAGTAAAATATTAGCTCAATACTCACTTACATATTACGTGGGTGATAGAAAGGAGTAAATTCTCAAAAAAAAAAAATTATTTTCTTTTGAAATTCATTGAACAAGTCTATCTTAACCATCAAGATTGGTTAGTATGAAATCTGCAAAACTATTTTTCTTCCTATCTTATTAGTCTCTATCTCAGTTAAACCAATCGGGCAGGTTAAATACAGATACTTGCTGAAAAAATTTCATAACAAGATAGTATGTTATGTATTAGATAGAAGCAAATCTAAAAAATAAAAATATTTTTTTTTTATCTTTACTAAAGTTTACAATTTAAATTATCAATAAATTATGAATATTACACTTATATTAAATAATAAAACATATGATTAAAAAATTTAATATTTGACGGAATATCAAGCTTACTCGTAATATTTACAGTTCACCGTATCATAATTAAAATAAGTCAATATTTCATCATATTACTGAAGAGGGTTTTCAAGATTTGTACACTCGCATCTTTTTTATCAGCTGTGCTATAATTAAAACATTTTAGTAAAAATCAAAAAACCATAATATAATTAAAATTTTATAGTCACCAAAACAAAAGTTCTCTATTACGGTGAATAAGGGAAGTTTTGCAATTTCAAAATTCATTAGAATAAATAATGAAATGCCAAAAAAAATTAAACATAATTAAACTGACGCCTTTAAATCAATTATTCAAACGTGGGTACCAAAGAAATTTAAATTTTCAAAGAACCAACACGATTCACGAATAAAAGAGCTAGTTTTAAGAATAAATAAGAACCTAACCTATAATTTATTAAAGGTCTTCTATGATATTGCCTACAATTTGTAATTTTGTTTATTTTTTATTCTATAATTTTTTTTAATTGATATTAATTGTAATTGCTTTTCTTTTTTCGAGTACAAATTTTTCAAATAAATGACATTTCTAACACGCTCTCATCACCGACTAATCTTATATAATCACTATAATCAAATAATCTTACCGTTCCATTATGTAAACAGTGTATACAAAATTTCAATAAAACTCTAAATATGTATAAAGTTACACATTTAAGAGGAAGTCTGCTATAAATAACCATAACAGTTACTGGCTTTTACTAACAAAACTTTAAACAAAAAAAGGTTAAACTAATACTTAAAAATTAACATGTAATATAAAATACATTATAATTATAAGAAATAAAATAAAAACAATCATATTAGCGAATATATTTTTTAAATGATAATAAGAAATTCACTTTTGAATAAGGAATTTTATTATTTTAACTGTTTCTATAGATTTAAGGTCTAATTTTGATGACAAATGATCTTCTATTTCAAATTAATGCTGTCTATTTGTGTATACTCCATATTCGATAGAGATATGTTTAACCGTTTGCTGGCCCCCACAAGTTTCAAATATTTGTAGTGAATATTAGTCATAAGGTGATTGTAAGTTAATCTTGTATGTCCAATTCTGATGAAAATCAGGAGAGAGTTGGACTTCTTGTAACACTAAATTAAACAAGATCAAAAAAAATATCTATGTTATAGAAGTAGATAAGTTGCAAGAACTTACCCAATGAGATTATAACCATGGACATTTTTCGTATACAACGTTCTCACACAAAAATACATAATTATTTTTTTGATTTCAAAATAGACAATAAAATAGTACTATCTATTGACTAAATATTCAGAATCAAAAATATCACACCTTATAGCTTTGATCCCTATAAACAAAAAGCAAAATTTTTAATAAATTGTACTATTGACATGCATAGTTATAAAAAGGAGATAAAATTTGATATTGGTAAAGTATGATAAATATTTCCATAAAATATTTGAAACATTAATTAATTTATAAAATCATATGTAATGCATAATATGCATTGCATATGTACTATTATAAATAAAAATAAAAATACCTCAATTGTAACAACTTGCCCTTGTAAAACTCTCCCTTACCTCCAGTTTTACAGTTATATGTTGCATATTATCCAAAGGTAGATTCTCATTTAATTTAACGTTACAATAAACTACATTTCATTTCATTCTTGAAGACTAAAGGATTGTGTATTATTTTTTTTATATCGTTTTAAGAATTTATTTTTAAATGTTTGTATATTATTGATAGACTTTTGTTATTTTGCCGCAAGTTCATTACCAATTTGAAGGGGATTAAAATACTTCCAAAGACCCTCTGCCAGTCGTAAGAGGTGACTAATGAGGTTTTGTCAGGTTGACAGCCGGTGTAAAACTTTGTCAAAAAGTATAAGGGAAATTGAACAGAACTAGGCGGATTGTTCCCTCTCGGACATACGCGAGGACAATAGATGAGAGGAAATGAAATAGTTAAAAACGCAGGTAGACTAAAGAATAAAATCTTTAATACCAATCAGACATTTTATGTGTAGCGGTATCACCAGTTATAAGTGTAGGTCTACCCAACTCTCGTTATGTCAACAGAATAGAGATATAATCACTCAACTCTAGGCTGGACTCGTATATAGGTGAAAAAGATAGATACAAGGTAAGAATAGGTACGTGCTATGATGGAACATTAACTGTTAGAAGTAGAAAATTAGTAGAAAAAAGTATTAAAGAGGAGAAAAGTTATTATTTGTTGTGTAAAGGAAATAACGTAGAAGGTAGAGAAAACAAAAGTCATAGAAGAAGATTATAAAATAATGTCCTCAGGTAAGACCAGAAAAAAAATTACGAATGGATAATAATAGATGAAGAGATGAAAAGTAATATCGTAAAATTAATTTTCGAGGAAAAGGTATTGAATATAGTAAGTACCTATGCATAACAGTAAGGATGTGATGAAATGGATTAGAAAGTGTTGTGAAGAGAGATTGATACAATGATGCAGGAATACCTGGTAATGAGACCAGTTATGATGTATGATTCTGTGTGTTGGGCGATTGACAATAGAATAGAGTAAAGAATAAGTGTAGCTAAGATGAGAATGCTTAGATGGATGAACGAAGTGGCTAGAGAAAATAGAATAAAGAACAAACATTTAAGAGGGAGTATAGGTGTAGCGTCAATCATGAATACGATGAGAGAAAATAGACTAAGATGGTTTGGTCAAGTTTTGTGGAGAGTGGAATCGAAAACTGTAAGAATAGTTATGGAAATTAATTTTGAGGAATAAAGTGGTAGAGCAATACCAAAAAAAGATGTAGAGAGGTGTTACTGATTGCAATATGAGAATGGCTAATGTGTGCACAGACAATGTGGAAGATCGTGTTAAATGAAAGTTTAGGATAAGAGTGACCGACCCCTTGTAATTAGGATAAAGGGAAAGAAAAAGTAAAATATTGTAAGTTCATTAATCAATATATATATATGTCCCGGTATCTATTTTAACGTTATACAAACGTCTAAATTTTCAAACTTGTGGATTTTGTTTTGTATTAATCTTTATACGTCAGTTGTATAATAATTGTTTTCAATAACACAAAAAATTTGTCTTGTATAAAATTTCTTTTTGTATTGCAAAGAAACAGAAATAAAAAATATCGATTTTAATTATTTGACCTGATCATTCTTGAATATGAATCAGTCTAGTTTGTAATTTGGTTTGTAATTTATCGAGTTTCTATTACTAAAATCCTCTTGACATTGAAACCCTATTACTTTGATAAATTTGGAGCTTCAGCTATTTAATGACAACATGAATTTACCACGATTGCACCTTCATGTCCAACTTCGTAGAATTAGTTCACCGATATATGGGTCGATACAATAACTCAAAAAAATCGACAATCATCTTCAATAAATATATTGATCTGACCAACATAATTACACGACCGTGAACCTGACACCATAAAAAACGTGGCTATACGGCACAACGACAATCCGTTGCTTCGGAATTATGCACAAATATACGTTTTGGTATTTTCAAAGTTGCAATACTAGCAATACTGACTTATTTGCGGCATCAAAGACTGCTAACATGACAAGTAGGCACGTAGACCATTTTCTCTATCAAAACTTCCTAAAATTTCTAGAAGCTTGTTGGAAACCAGGAAGATAAGCCAGCCGTAAACCATAAAAAAATTTACTTTTATATAATAAATAAATAGTACAAAAAAATATTGTTATTTTAATTGTTAACAACTAGTAAAACATCAAATAATTTACATAGTTTTCAAAAAGAAATTAAAATATAAGTAAATAAACTGACAGTCAATTTCATTTCAATGATATAAAAATTCAACTTACTATGTATTTCCTTTGTACTCTTTATTTACAATTTATTCCATGTCAGTCTCTTAGTTTTTCACAAATACTTATACATACAAATTTTGATTGATTGGACAATTAAATATTACAAAATTAGAAGAAAAATATTTTTTAACGTATATAAATTAAAGTAATTATTAAAGTGTTCATTAAGTTATTAAAAAATATTTAAGTGTAATATTAAATCTTTTTTATCATAATACATTTATCTTATTTCCTACTTAAAAAAAAAAGAAAATCAATTACAATCAATATTTTTCCATCAAATTTTTTATAAAATTTTAATTAAAAACATAATAGGATGTCAATTTAATACAAATTTGTAAATTATAATTATTAGTAAAAGTATTAATATTATTTTTTTAAAAGCAAATTATCATATAAGTATTTCTAGGAATAATTTTTGAGGATTGCATTAAAAAAATATTTACATTTTATATATATATAATAAATAATCATAATAATAATTACAAATAGGTTACATACAATTAAAATTGATATAAAATAAGTTAAGGATCAATGTCTATTATCTATATAAAAATTATGGTAAATTTTTTATTTTGTCTTTTATTTTCTTAGATTCGAAACCGATTAATATTTCATCTAGTGACTTTCCTTTAGTTTCTGGCAATAAAAGCCAACCATACAAGACAATTATTAAACAAGTACTAGTAAAGAAGGTCCAAACTATTTTTATTCCCATTATTGCAACTAGAGTAGGATATATTTTTGTAGCACCAAAAAGTATTTCATATCCAACGGATTGTACAAACGCATTCATTATACCTAATGCAAACATAAAATTTATATTTCATACAACTATTTTTAAAAAGAATAGTAACTACATTTAATAAGATATACATACCTTTAACATGCATAGGAAATATTTCACCAGAAATACTCCAAGGTATTGGCATCATAGCTAACATGGAAAAGTAAACGTACAAGAAAAATGCAACAATTAGCCAATTATTATAAGATGTATCTGAAGTATTTTCAAATTCGTAAATGTAACCCACAATTACGGACATCCACACAAACATGCCTAAACCAGATATTATAGTAAGTGTTTTACGTTTGACACCAGACAATAGAAAATAGGTTAAGCTTCCAATTAGCCGTGCAATTGAAAGGTACATGGTGACAGTAATTCCGTCCTTTTGAACGCCACAGTCATGGAGCACATCCACTGAATAGGACATTAGCACGTGAATTCCAGAGCATTGTTGAAGAAATATAAAGAATATCACGTGAACGGTAGGCTTCCATATATTGGATGCTGTATACGTAGACCACGAAAGCAACTTGGCTTGTTCGATCGGTGGTGCAATCGGTATTTCAACATCTTCCTTTACCGACATTGATTCCAAGCCAAGCCATTGTTCTGCCCTAATCGCTTCATCTTTTCGACCACGGGATCTAAGCCATATAGGTGGTTCTGGTATGATGAATAAGCCCAATGCACCAAATAAACCGAGCACACCATAAATCGCAGCTAATATCCTCCAGCTAAAGTATATGCCCAACAGAGTTGCAAAAAGCATACTAAATCCGGTATAGACAATAGTTACAGCCAAAAACATTGGTCTGAGAGCTGTGGGACAGATTTCAGCAGCGTAAATAGACACCACTATGCCACTACCTGTAAGATGAGTAATTTATTTAAGTAAAATCACAAATAATAAGAATAACTAATTAATGAAACATTTTCTCTCGCGAAACATGCAATAAGAATAATAAAGACATACTACGAAGAATAGTAACTGTCCTATAAAACACTGTTTATGTCTTATAAACATTTATGCTATAAAGTTAAACAATACAAAAGAAAATGTAACTTAGCTTATAAACTCATATTAAGGTACATAGAATGTTTGTCAATTTACCATATGAAAGCCCCAGTACGACTCTAGCAACTAAAATAAAATAAAAATTCTTGGCAAAATAAAGCATGAACCATCCTATGATCATTGGTACAAACGAAATCTGAAGAACTCTTTTACGGCCAAATCTATCAGTCACAATTCCGGTTAAAATTAAACCAATGGGGCATACTAAATTCGGTATACTAGCTAAAAAAATATATAATCAAATTAATATTTATTCTGCATGAGTTTTGGCAAGTATTATTTTTAGATATTAAAATTAAATATTTTTGGCATATGTGCTTCGCTTCAAAAAATATAATTTATATTTTACTAATTATCAGTAAATAATTAATAAGATTTCACTAGTCATATTTGCAAATTTTTTAACTTTTGTTTAATATTTATTTATTTTATACATCAATTCAAAATTAAAATGAATCTGTTTCATTATAAAAATAAATATTAACTTTTACAAAGAGGTACATGACAATTCACTTATAAAGGAGGCTAGAACTAGTCATATGGGTTAGTTGTAGTAATGGAAAATATCGAATAGTAACTATCAAACTATTTGATAATCATACAAAAAATATTCGATAGTTACACAATATATTCAAATAGTTTTAAAAACTATTTAATAGTTTATGCTAAAAATAAACTATTCGGATGTATAAACACAATTTGAATAGTTATTCGATAGTTCAAAATATTTGAAAATGCCCATCACTAATTTTTACTATTATTAATTGTATAATAATTTATTTTAAGTATTCGTTAATTATCTTCTTATTATAATTAAGTGTACTTAATAAAAAATTTAGGGAGAACTAATCGAATATTTTTTAAGACCATTTAGTAGCCCATTCGAATAGTTTAAAAACTATTCGATAGTTTATTTGAATAGTTTATGCTAAAAATAAACTATTTGGTTGTATAAAAAAATTTAAATACTATTCGATAGTACAAAATATTTGAAAATGTCCATCACTAGTTGGTTGTAACAACATTAATTGTTCCGAAACTATATGTCACTAAATGTCATAAGTCATACCATATATTATTAAAACAGTTCTAATTATTTTAGCATTGATATAAAGCATATTAAGGTGTTATCAAGATTCTATATATAACAAAAAAATTTTGCTTTGATAAGTTAATTTTATACATAAATTTAATTGAATTTAGCTCTTTACTTTTTATTAATATTGTTATATTATTCAACACTTCACATAAGTAGTGTCTTAAAGTATATTACTGTATGTTTTAATGATAAAACTTATGACAACTTTTCTTTCAAGTAGTACACGGGACTAGTTGTCACAAGACATGTTGCACTGGTTGTGACATATATTTTTATTTTTATGCTTTTTAACCTATTTCTAATAGGTGTTACTAATGAATAATGGCTATTTAACAAACAGGTTATTACATGGCATTTTTTTGAGAAATATTGTTCAGTAAAAATATTATATTGTTTAATATAAAGTTTAAATTTGTTATTCTCTTAAATAAAATTATTGTTCGATAACAACTTTTGAATCTCTATTTCTGGAGTTATTATTATATTCTATTAGTAAAGGATGGAAGTGAGACGCGGGTGTTCTTATTTTTGTCACGGGTCATTTCCCGGCCAAACTCTTTCTCCCGCCCATGTATAAAAATATCAATAATTTCCGAAATACTGATTTAAAAGTTGTTGTCAACTTATCATAAAACACAATTTCAATTCAGAGTGCAAATCATACCGATCCAAGAAGCTTGCACATTGTCGATGTGGATATCAAATGACGGATCTTTGAGTTGTGCTAAAATAATTGAAGAATATATAAAAGCAGAACTTGTGATGAATGAATGGATACTCATTATGCTCGTACATAAAACCTGCGAGTATCAATATTTTATGATTATATTTATATTGTAATGTTATTATGACAAAAGTAAATTGTAAAAAAAGCATACAATATTTTTACACAAAGTATTCTAAATTCATATAAACATGTAACATATGCTCAAAAGTGTTTAATATGCATACAAATTAAAACCTTTTGAAAATAATTTATTGTACCGTAATGGTAAAATATGTACTTACGAGTTTTAAAAGGAGTAAAATATTATTCTGTTTCATTTTTTTCTCTGTTTAGTTAGTAAAATAAAAAAAGTTGATATCCATTCCACAAAATAGCTGATATGTAACCCGAGCAAAAATAATTTGAATACAGTAATAATTGAGTGGCAGTATCACAAAATGCTACTGTTTTATACACTACTCGAGAGCTTGTACAACCTCTTTATGATGAATGTGTTACATCACAACCTAATAATCATTTCATTAAATTTTTGCTGTATAAAAATTAGCAAACAATAACAAATCACACTAGTATATTTATTTAAATCACGCCAATTGCTTTTTCAAATCGTCAAATTAAAATGATTAAAACGTAATGATTGACTATTGTTTGGTAACCTCTATGAACTATAGCCCACCGAAGTACCGCTAAATTTGATAAAAAAAAATAATAATAATAATTTAAGAAACTTTATCATATTATCTATTTATATAAGTCCATGCATATGACTTTTTATTAATGATTAATATTTTACTATCAAATATTTTTATTTAAAATAATATTAGTTAATTTTTTTGTTTTTGCTTTTTGGTAAAATTAAAACAATCATTTAAAATAAATAAATTTTTAAGTAACACGCTAAAAATGTTTATTTTTCATATTAATTGTAATACTTACATTTTGAAGATTCTTTTGGTAAGCAATATCGTATGACTGATCTAATATAACTGAAATCAGATGTCAACTTTTATTTTAATATAAGTAATCGTTTCTTGACATCTCGTTAATTTTTAACGAATCTCATAAACTGTATTATTGAATAGTGTGTCTAATAACAATTAAAAATTTACATACTTATAGCGATACTATTATTTAACGTGACGTGTGGTCAACGTCACCTAATTCATTAGCTCTTGTCTATTTTTAAATTGATCATATCTAATTTGCTAATAATCTACTTGGTAATATTTTCTTATTATTGTGTTACAAATCGGCAATTTGTATAATTAACTTTTTTTTCATAGACAATGTTGACTGAGCAACATAATTGGTCTTAACAATTTTCATCGAGTCTACTTAGTGATGTATATTAAACTTCCTAATAAGAAAAAATAGACAAATATTGTATTTATTACTTTGAACATTATTTTAATAATTAATTATTTTACCTGAAAATTAGCGAGTGTTTTTTTAACATATTTTCATCACATTTATTACTAACAATCAACATTTTTTTACGATAATTGGTTGGGTTGAAAAATAATGTTATTTACAGCTTTAAAATATTTATTCTAGAGAAAACAAATGGTATTTTTCTCAAAAGTTTTTTTTAACAATAAGATGATTTTTAAATTTTTCTTGCGCTTTTTCTTTTACTTTTATTTTGTCATTCTTTATTTTCCTCAACATTTTATATAAGTGTTATCCTCAATTTTTTAAATTATTTAACTTCTGATTATTCATCATATTTATTCTTAAATTTTGAAGAAAATTGAGATTTAAAATTAACTGTTTTAAATTTTTCCTATTAAAAACGTCTTATATTTTTTTTATGAGACAGTACAATTAGTTGAAATAGATTATTGTTGTATATGAATGTATGATGTGTTAGAAGATAAGCAATTTTGTATTCTGTAGGTCGAATATTGATTATATTAAAAATTAATTATTTATTATCTGACCAGACAAGTATTGCTGCTAGTTTATCTTTAAGCTTAAATATTTTTTCTTTAGTACTCTTATAATTTAATTAATAATAATTGTTATTGGAAATACTTACCAAAAACAAAAGACACCAAGAAAACTCTAAAAGTTGTATTAATACTGTGAATATTAAACGCAGTGATTTATGATGGACACGAGTCAATATAATAACACTTGTCTATATAAGTATCACATACAGTGTCATAAATGTGTCATTGACACAAGTATGAAATATTGGAGTACAATTATGTATTATACAGGAAAAAATTTAAAAAACATTATTTTTATTTATCAATATTTAATTGATAAAAAATAGTAATTCCCGTTTAAGAAAAATCTAGTTTTTTTAGCTTTGAAGATAAGTAAAAAAATTATTTTTCTACATAACACTGTAGTTTATCAATCAAATTTTTATCTTAACAAAAATAAAAAATGTTCAATAGTGTTTGACAAAATGCACACCCTGTAACTGTTTTAATTTAAATCTTTTTTTTTTAATTGTATCTTAAGAAACAATCTAAACTAATCAATAATTAAGCTAAATCAATCTAAGTTAAAATTTCATACGTTAATGATAAACCGTTCTGTTGACACAACTACTCTCACAAAATGTACCAACTTTTAAATTATAAGCAGAAAAAAAAATTATGACACTTAAAATTATAAAACAAACAAATCATAAAATTGTCAATTATAAGATTGACATTATTTTTTTCATCGATAATATGTTTCGTGAATATAAAATGGTTCAATTAATAAATTCGCTAAATAAAATTATGGTGAAAGTGCAAAAAAAAAGGTTTTTGTTTAATTACTTAATTGAAATTTTATTAAAATGTACTAGACAATTATTTATAAGAAAAGTAGTTTCACAATTTTTTTTAAATCTACCCTAAAAAATTGAATTTGACACAATAAAAATTTATAAGTAATATAAATTATAAAATTTACTAATATTGAGATATTATATTGTAACAACAATTATTTAAGTACAGATATATTATAATAGTTTCACATAACAACACTTTTATTTGTAATAATGTAAAAGTAAAGATATAATAAAAATTGATCACTTGGCTAATATTATAAAAAATTAAAATTATATTAAAAACATTATTAATTTAAAACTAAAAAATATTAAGAACATATAACTCAAAAAACAACAAAACAATTTACTTAAAAATTGCGGGTACGTATTTAAGAAGCAATGTTAACATTATCTACGCTAAACACATACTGACGCCCCGAAAAAAACCCCTTATAAACCCCTAAAGACCATATCACCTAGTAACGTTATCACTAAGTAATATCACACTTTGCTAGTATATACATAAACAAGGTATTCAGTAAGTAAGGAAACAGGTCAATTGTTATAAACAATGAGAACAATGGAAACCTGGTTCCTTACTTACTGAACATTCTATGTATAAATATAATAATGAATTTTTCAGTGGGCAAAGATCCCAATCAATTACTTTTTTTTTTATTTTTAAATATTTCTACTGCCTACCTTATATTAAGTTTTTTGTAATTTTTACGTTTTTAATTAGTTTTATGGTTTTATGAAATGATTATGTGGCAATAAATGTTCAGTCACAGGAGATTTATCAACTTCTTAATTTTTAATGTTACTTAAGTGTTCATTAAACTTGACCCCTATATTTCTTTTTGTTTGTCCTACGTAATATTTATTACAACTTTCACATTGTATTTTTTAAATTCTCGATTTCCGTGATCTAATTACTTTTTGTTCCTTTATGCTAGTGAGTGTACTAGCTGTCCTTTCTTTATTCCACTTTTGTGTTCGGACTAATTTTGAAATTACGTTTTCGTTATACTCGTTAAATCTAACTATTTCTCTTATAACCCAAGTTCTTTATCAAAATCTATTTTATTTATCCGAATATTAACTAATCTTAAACCATACTATTAAAAGCTGTCATTTTGTGTTGCTAGCTGTGGTTCAAACTGTTCGGAATATGCCTGCAGTGAGTATGTTTCCCGATAAATTTAGTTCCCCTCTTATAAATTTAACTAATTAATCCAAAAAAAAACAATTTTCCCTCTATTTTCTGTTCATATGTGAATTTAATCTATGGGTAAAAAGAATATAAATGTTAGAAGAAGAATTGCGTATTAAAATCTTTGGTTATTATTGCAAAAATGTTTATATATATCTTACCCAAATTTTTGGAAAATCAACATAGGCGTTTTTTAAATTTGTTTCCAATCTACTTTTGAAAAATCGAGATAACGGGTTTCTCATTGTTGTCCCATCAATTTGTTCATAAAATTTATTTTGAAACTGAAAAACATTTTGACCCATCAATAACTTTGCTATATTAATTAGCTCATTTATTTTATACTATTGTTTATGTTTTGTTCTTTTAACCAGTCTTTAAGAAAACCAATTGTTATATTTATCGGGATATTCAGAAATTAGAATACTACGTCAATAGAAATAAACCTATTATTATTTCGAATAGTAGTAACCAAATAATTTTTGAACTAATTCAATATTATTTTTAAAAGAAAAGCTATTGAATTTTTCAATACATGAAAATACCCTTGTTTTGTGTCTAGCCAAATAGTTTAGGCATTAATATTCGACACAATTCGAAATATGTATCCGTGATTTTTTAGTTATATTTTGTGGCTTTTTAAGTTAAATTTTAGCTTCGATGCGAAGCTGAGAAGGCATTGGTTTTACAAAGATGTGTTTTTTTTTTTTTTTTGTGTCTGTTACCACTTTTTCTCAGCTCTCACCGAACCGATTTCTTTCAATGATACGTCAAAAGATCACAAATCGTATCTAGTCGAAGACATTACCCTTAAAAATTGAAAAAAATTCCCTCGTTCCCCGTAAATGGGGGAAACCTCCAAAAAAATTACAAATTTAAAAATCGCTAATTTTTGATATTTTTTCAATTTTTTTTACTTAAAAGTGCCGTAACTTTTTTAAAAATAAACATATCAATATAATTATTTTTTTTATAGATGCATGTGTCATTACCTATCATTTGGTATATTTTTTTTATAAATTTAACCCTTAACCTGCCCACAAGGGGGGATTTAAAATGACAACTTTTTCACAAAAAATTAATNGGGGGATTTAAAATGACAACTTTTTCACAAAAAATTAATTTTTTTAACTTAAATTTTGAAAATGTTCCGGAAGGTCTGACACTTTTATATATATCTTAAATTAAAGATAATGTAATATGCTTTATAATGAAAAAAAAAAATTTCGGACTTTATCTTATCTTCATGGTTAAAATGGCTACCGAATGCTATTTTAATGTGAAAATTTTCGATTTTGTATTTTCCATTTTTAACTTTATTATGCTATAACTTTTTGAAAAATGTATGAATCATTACAATTTTTTTATGAGAAGTAGTATTTATATAGATCTTTCATTCGACATACTGTTTTTTTAAATCGGACCATTTCCCTAAATACAGGGGGGATTCAAAACATAAAAATGCATATAGAAAGTAGAACTTTTTCAACGTAACTTTTGAAAGTGTTCCGGAAGGTCTGACACTTTTATATATATCTTAAATTAAAGCTAATGTAATATACTTTATAATGGTAAAAAAAAATTTCGGACTTTATTTTATCTTCATGGTGAAAACAGACATTAAACTTAATAAAAAAAATACGATTTTTGTAAAAAAATTCTTTTTTATATTTTTAACTTTATAATGCTATAACTTCTCGAAAGATGTATGGATCAATATAATTCTTTTTTTTGTAGATGCATGATGTCTTTACCTATCATTTGGTATATTTTTTTTATAAATCTGACTTTTTACCTGCCTACAGGGGGGGATTCAAAATGACAACTTTTTCACAAAAAATTGACTTTTTCAACTTAAATTTTGAAAGTGTTCCGGAAAGTCTGACACTTTTATATATATCTTAAATTAAACCTAATGTAATATACTTTATAATGGTAAAAAAAAATTTCGGACTTTATTTTATCTTCATTGTGAAAACAGACATTAAATTTAATAAAAAAAATACAATTTTTGTAAAAAAATTCTTTTTTATATTTTTAACTTAATAATGCTATAACTTTTTGAAAGATGTATGGATCCATATAATTCTTTTTTTTGTAGATGCATG